GTTATACAATAAGGACAACACTACAACGATTTAAAAAGGAAAAAAATAGCCCTACGTTGGCATTTGTGACTTATCGCTTAACTTTACAGATAATAATTACAACATTAGAACATTAATAGTTGACACCGGTGGAATTTAGCCCGTAACCGTAAACTAAAGCCTTAGCCATTGATTTTACAATTGAACTTTATTTGAGCCTAAAACTGAAACCTTTAAAAACTGACGGTAGCCCGGGTTAACTATGACAATCAGACGTCTAACACCTCAGTCTGTCCCGTGACCATGAACGCTGTAAAGGGTTCGAAACGTCGGGAATTAAAATTAAAAATAAACGCAATAAATCCGTAAAATTAGTTTCATTTATTTGAGCCTTCTTTAATAATAGAACTCTACGAGTGCTCGTGAAATGTAAAAAGAATCGCATTTCATGAGACTCCTCCGTAGGAAGTAAGGCTGTGCGGGTGATTTTTTCTCCACGTTATCTTTTCACCCCGCGTAACAATGTGCAAGTCTGAGTGAAACTCGAAATGGGAACCGTGATTTTTTCTGCTGTCATGTAAGCAGACACAGCCAAAGCCTGCTAGTGCCGACTTAATAGTACTACGACATTGTACTTTCGTGCTGTGATTAGCCTCGCTGCAAAGAATAGTCCGCTTTGATGCTGGAAAGAGGAAATATTATACGGCTCGTTACTCTTTCTTATCGCTAATGATTTCCTTATTTAATTCACACATTAAATTTAGTGTGTTGATTTGGCATGAAAATAGGAGAATCGTTAAACGTACACGCGAACTCATTATCAGTGCTATATTTATCCTTTCCGACAACGGAAAGAAGGGAAAGCTCTAAATATCATACGCTAGCACTCGAGGGAATAATCCATCACGTCAAAGCTTCAACACGACATGATTACAACAACGAATGTTGCGGAAAATTTGCGGATCTTGTGAAGAGAAATCGATTGTTTGTTTCGTAATGCTTCTTAAGAATAGTATGTAGTGACATAAAGCGACTATTACGCAAACTGTATATTAGAATAGTTTTTATGTTATGATTAAGAGGCCATATAGCTTATGGTCGCCGGTTTGGAATTCCCGTAACAGTCTGTCTATTTCCATCAACTTTTAAGATGAATCTATAGGTAAGAATGTTAGACTAGTATAAACAAATACATCTCAAACATAAATGTAAATAACTGACGTATTATTGAACAACTTTGGCAGTTGAGTGTGAAAACTTTGAACGTGCTTGGGATGTAGGTAGAGATACTAAGGTAAACTTTTGGATATGCTCAATGAATAACACTTCAAGATTAAATGTTTAATAATATTTTATATTTCAGGATAGCCTTCTTCGTTATTAAATAAATACTTTAAATTTGTTCATTAACATTACTTGCCTTATTTGTATTGAATTAACGTATCGTATTGTACGTACTTGACTCCCATCATCCTTAATAGTAAGTCGTACTAGTCATAAACATATATTTTGTTTTATATTAACTTTTTTAGCAAATTCACTATATTAATTAATTAGGTTCGGACTAGATGACTTTATAATTGTGGTGCTATTAGTATAATACTTATTAGCTGCCATAATTTTAAGCTTTATTATGAATGATACAATGTCAGCTTATTTATATTTTTGTGCAGTATTAAATTAATCGTATCGTTAAATATACGAATATTTTGGATAATTAACGAGTTTCAAATTTATTTAGGTATAATTCCAAAGTTCATTGAGTCGAATCGATGTTATTATTTAAAAAAAAGGCATTAAATAATCCAAAATCATAATAAATCTGCTTCAAAAATGCAAAGGACTTATTTTGGCCATTACATTGTTATTGAGTCCCCTTTATAATATTCATCGAACGTTTTCTTTTTATGATTATGGGATCCTCGTCGCTATCAATGGCCTGTCATAGTTTCGTTGAATGCAGTTTCATTTTCCCCTTCCAGAAATTATCTTTGATATAAAATATTAGCGAACAAAAGAGAAATTACTTCGTAGTAGTGCATTATAAATTATAAGATCCTGTTGGAAAAAATGGAGATTACTGTTATTATGCATCTATAGTTATGTATATACTTCCCGTGTGAAATTATTGCGCAGTACCGTGATCTTCTATAGTAATCAACAAATGGTAATATAATAATATGTAAATAAATATTTTTTAATGAAAGTTGTCTTATATAGAAGAAAAACTATAAATTGCAGTCTAGTTCGCAAAATTTTTCAAAAGGTTGTCAACGCATCTGTAACCCTCGGGTGCAGCAGATGTCCATGGGCGGCGGTATTCACTTAACGTCAGGTGAACCGTTTGCTCGCTTGGCAACCTTTCACATAAAAAAAAAATATTAGTACAAAAAAATTCAATAGTTGGCATTATCATACACTATTCAACCACTAGAGCGATGGTACGCTCTTTTACACAAATAATTCCATTATAGTTTAGTGATATACGTATGGGCTTAATACTTCTTGACAGCATGAGCGCACTTGTATTGGAATACAAACTCATACGTCATGGCACCAGTTACATCTCGACATGATTAGTGTAACAAATGAGGCGAAAGAACGATCCATGCGTCAGCCAAGATCATCTCCTCTAGATTACTATGACTTAGTAGAATATGTCCAACATGTATATATACGTCTTCTGAATTTATTGGTTCTATAATTGTATATTATTTCTCAAAGATATTTTTTTTTGTCTGAATACATACATGTCATAATGCTTAAACAAATTTGAAGATTCAAACACCATTTGAAAGCTAATGTTTGCCGTGACAAATAGAATAAAAGTTTTCAAAAAAAATTTCAATAGAGAAGAGGGTTGCGAACTGCCATCAGCTTGTGATCCTATCAAGAACAAAATTATATAATCTAGACCTAAACGAACCACAACTGCAAGACAAGATACAATTAGTAGCTTCTGCATAAATCGGACTAAAAGTTATTAAAAAACACTAACGTTAGTCCGGGTTAACTATGGCATTCAGACGTCCAACGTTACGTCAGACGTCCAGTCTGTCATGTGACCATGAACACTGTACAGGTTTCAAAACGTCGGGAATTAAAATCAAAAATAAACGCGATAAATCCGACAAAATAGTTTCATTCAGGCTTTAGTGGTTTCGTTAAAACATTGCGAAAGCTAACCTCCTTAATCGCAATAGCGTGCTCTCAACCCGAGCGAATTGGTGTCACTACAAAACACGAGAAATCTATGGCCGTTTGTACAAACCACCCCCTATTTCACGAGCGTAGTCCTGCTCCATAGAATAGGCAGCCCCGACTGCCTGCACTCACCTGTGACAGAACAATGACCCCCTCCTCTACATCCGCATGAGGGGAGGGTCTCCTACCGGCGTGCATCGGTGTCGTCACGAATTTCCACAGTCTGAATTTTTGATGCGTTCCATTGAAGTAATTTTTAGCGATACACTCCTCCAAAAGACCGTTAAGCATTCGAACCGTGTATATTATATGCACTTCGATTTTTAAAAAAAAACAGCTGCTGTCCTTTTTTCTGGGTTTTGAAAAAATACTAGGATAGGACTAGGGATAATACCTTTTTGTCAAGCTCACCTCTTGTTCGGTTTGTTTTAGCATTAAAATTATAGTATTACAGTCGTGTTATTATAATATTATGAAATTGACTTGGAATTTACTGTCAAGTTGCAATTTAGAACCACGCGGAAAATATTGCATAACTGTAAATAAATTTAATTTGTTAAGATAAATACATGCATCGCACTTATTGATATTAAAATCTATTAACTTTCGGGGCTTCCATTTAGACTCATATTCTAATTAATATTCTTCTGCCAAAGGAAAATGTTTTGCAAATAAGTTGAGAACATGGTGATAATGAGTTAACAGATGAGTTTTATGAATTTTTACTAACCATGAAGTCATAACAAAAATAACGCAAAATACAAGATGATAAAAATTAGACATATTGTTCCTGTCATTATAGTAATTTATAAAGAACATATTTCGTAAAAATATATACTTTAAAATTCAGTTTATGTCATAGTTCTTTTAATTGCGTATAGATAAGTTCAATTATTTGCTACCTTTAAAGGTCTCATTCAATTTGATCATTAGTGACAACGTCATTAGTTATCATTCGTACTGGCGGATTGAGTTATGTATGATTTGAATTTACAAGTTCCTCTGGTGCTCATGACTGTCGAGTCGTTGCATTTTAAAAGATGGTAGAGTTAAGATCGGCACTTGATGTGGGGTAAGCGCGCAAGCGCGTATTTCAGGGTCGCGCGTCAGATGATGATTTCAGAATTTTTAAGATGAGCACGCATCAAGCGTCTTATCACATGTTTTTATTGCTTAGTTTGTCCTAATTATAAAACAAGTCAAAAAGTATCATTGTAATCGTAATCGTGTTTTATTTAGTATTTTGTGTACAGTAAATAACATCATTAAATATTGGATCGAGACCAATAATGTCTTAAAAGATTATTTTCTGTAATGAAGAAAAAAAAAATATTTGTTCATTTATTAATATTATGATACATTATGAAATAACAAGATTCTGAAATCCACTGTAGTATCTTGACAGCCAGCACCAAAATCACGAAAAACATAAAAAATAAATAATATTCAGAAACACACTCCCTTTGTAAACATCATCTATTTAACGCTGATCAAACAATTTGAATGGAATTCTGTTTGTTTTAATTTCAACGGATAAAAATGCATCAGTTAAAAAACAGTGGGCATTGAATAAAAACATCGCAATTCAGCATTGAAAAAGAGAAATTATGTACTAGTGTATTAGTCCTAAATGATACCAAATAAATTGAACTGTATCAACAACGAGATTTTAGGATAAAATAATTCACTCGCACTTTTGGGACGGACAAATATGTTTTTCAACAGAATGCGAATTTGCCAGCTTCCAGGCCAAACTAGTGCCTGCCATTACGATTTTTTTTGGCTGGATGAGCCACTGTTAGCCTTAGGGGCCTTCACAGATCAATTACGAATATGACAGTTAACAGTAGCTTTTGGTGCGAGCTTTTACGCGGATAGTGGATAGCAGCCCGCACGCGGGCGATTAATTCGGTAGCTGTCAGCCCCGCCTCGGCCCTATCGCCCATCGAGCCGCTGTTAACTCGTCGAATTTGCTAATTTACAATCCACAAATGAATATTTAATGGCAGCGTGTCACCCCTGAAAATTCGTAAACCTCTTCGCAGAGCCGACCACGGAGTATGCGGTGAAAGGTTAAGAACGCAGAAGCGATAATAACCAGCCAAATTGTAGTGATTGACTGATACTCTTAATTATCGTTATTCCATTTTAACTGTAATTATATTCGATATTCATTATTCATAAGTAATTTAAAATTATATAAATTTATATTTATAACAGTTTACTACGGTACTTATCGAGTATTATATAGGGAACAGCATTTAAATGAACTATTTCTGTTTAATGGTGAAATAAAGTGCAACTTACATATTTACAACAGACACTGTTTCGCTCAATACTGGACATGTAATCGATTACATCGACAATTAGGAAACTATGAAGATAGTTTGAAAATAGCTAATCAGGATTTGACTTCGAGGGGAAAGGAAACGCGTCTGTTTCAGTTTCTGCCCAATTACGCGTCTCGGGTGTCTGGTATACGCTGTGAGCGGGGGCTGCGAGAGCAGCGGGGAACGGAGCGGCGCGGGGGGGGGGGGGGGGGGGGGGGGGGGGGGGGGGGGGGGGGGGGGGGGGTGGGGGGGGGGGGGGGGCTGGGCCCGGCGCCCCATCGAAGTGGTTCGCGCCTTCTAGCCAGCGCGGATTCCAACTGCATCGGTGCGCGCTCGGATCAGCTGATCGGTGGCCGCGTGCGACCGGCGGTTGCGGACGACACGCCTCTACATGTGCTCGGCCACTATACTCTACTACGCTCGTGCGATATGTGAATGTATTTTGTGCTTGACGAATATCGGACGTAAGGGCGGCCGTGGACGTGTACGTGGACGCGGATGGACGTTAGTTCTCGTTGCACCGATAAAGGTGGGTGATAAGTGATGACCTCAAATGTTTACGTTTACGTTCCTTTGTTTTCGTGTTTCAATTATGTTTAATCGAAGGAGTAAGGAATGGTTTCTGTTTATGTAAGCATGCGAAATAGCGTTCGGAAATATTTTATTTTCCTGTCAGGTTAAATGAAATTTTCATATATACGTAAAAAAAAGAGATTCGATTGAGGGAATTAAGTTAACATATAAAATCGCATTATGACTTCAAGGCAAGAGTGAATGAATTTTCATTGAACTACTGTAACCATCAATGTAGCACGGTGGTAAATTTAATATAAAAATAAACATACATACGTGTATTTCTTGATTATAACATCATAAGTGGAGACAAAATTTTAATCATGGTAATATTTAGAATTATTGCAGCGAATTCGATGTGAAATTTGGCAAGAATATTCAAAATTGTGGATCGCCATGAACAAAACACCTTCAAATCTGATAAAGCAAAGGATACATAAAAAAATCGCGAAGTATTAAAAAAATAAGCTGAAATATGGAAGATAAACACACGCCGTCAACTTCCCGAAAAAATACGGCATCGTAAAATGCGAGCGCGAAGATTTTCGCTAAGTATTCCCTACTGATTTTGTGTTTCGCTTCACGGCTGTTAGTTCGAATAAATACATAATTTACAAGCGATTAACCCTATGAATATAATAAGCATACATTTAGATATAAGTCAACATTATATCGAAATGTCTATCTAGAGCAATTATTTTTTGACAAGTCTTCTTCTTCTTCTTTCCTTTATGACGTTTTAATGAATTCGCCAATGACATGTGAAAGATGCTTTATCAGTTTAATGACAACAAATCATTTTTACACACATGAATATAATATGGAAGGTATTATTTTGAATTCAAAAGTGTTTTTTTGCAGATTGATGTGATTTAAGCAGTAAAAGGCAAGCAGATTTCTAAATGAAACTTTTTTAACGGTTTTATCGGGTTTATTCATTATTTTGAATTCCGGACGTTTCGAATTTGTAGAGTTTATGGTACGGGACAGACACAGGAAGGTCGGTAATTCAAATAAAAAAAAAAAATAACGTATAAAACGTAGGAGCGTCGAGTAAATATAACAAATAAGCAATAAATCGTGTTAGCACACTTGTTGAAATAGCGCCGCGAACAGATTGAATTAGAAAAAAGGTAAAGTTAGTCAAACAAGCTGAGTCGATGTGGTGTCGTAAGTCAATGTCCAAGGCAGGTGGGACGCGGCTTAATGCGGACCTATTACCCTTTTCAACCTCTCCACAGCACTATTTGATGACGCCAGACTTTTACTCTACATATATCTCACATAACTTTCATCTTACGCCCTCGTGTACATTTATTTTTGTGATTTTACATGTGAAATTTTAGATGGAAGGGATTTTATGTCCGATGGTTATTGTCTCTGCATTTATATTATTGGTATAACAATTTTTTTATAGTTATTTTGAAGATTTTATCAATTTCTTTATTTCATTGTTTCTTTCGATGAGCGTCATTTTTGAAATATAATTTTAACTAAATTCACATTCAGATTTACTTCCGTTATGTACCTAAAAATTAGAAACCAATTCGTTAAGTTTGAGCGCCTAATTCTTATTCTCTCTCTCTTTCTCTCGTAATATTTGAAACCATTTCAGAGATGTAATTTAACACGGCGCAATTTAACAATCTTTTTTCATTTGTCATTGCTTAGCAATGGACAAAATATTATTACGTTTTTATATTCTCTGTATACATATAAAAAACCGGTCCTCCGGGTACTTTTAAATTTAACAAACTAAACCTTAACCGTAACCTAAAATCCAAGATGAGACCTTTCATCAAGAGTTTTGGTCACGAACTTGACACGCTGTAATCCCGTTGCAATATATGCTGGTCATTGTCGTTTAAAATGGATATCTGCTCATATAAATCAAAGACGGATAACTTTGGTTATCCGTCTTAACGGTAATGCGTTATAACTTATTCATGAAAAAACAGGAGAAGCACGTTACGATAATATAGTTAAAAGACAAAGGTAAAACAGCATATTTTTTACTTAAGTAAATAAAGTTTTATTTCTTCCAAAGCATTAAACAACAGTTATTTACAATGTTAACAAAATATTTGATCGGGCAGTATAAAATGGAACATGCTGTATAAAATTAAAGTCGGCAAATATAATGTGGTATTCACGATATTATTACAAACAATAGGTCCTTCAATAAATTAGATCCGTTGTTTTTTTAAAATAAAATAGCTGGTGAATAAAGAGGGCGAATTTTAAATAGGGAAGCGTCAACGAGTACGCTCGTCAACCGTCACATTTCAAGATGGCGCCCACTTTTAGCGGGAAACGTGACAGAAGCTTAGGATTGAGTCGAAAATCGAAATATCATCTAGGTACCTATTGGAAATGTAATTTAAGGCGCTCGAATTTAAAATAAACTATACATGTTCACTTATTTCTGAATATAATAAACAAAGTAGAGTGTTTAAGTATTCATGTTATGTGTTTTTATGCTTTATTCACGGAAACGAAAAATTGAATCATTTTTATTTAGCAGTTATGCTCGCATTTAAACAACAGTATTCAATTCATAAATTATACACAATGTGTTGTGAAAAACACACACACAAACACACACCCTTAAAATGAAGCAGATTCATATGAGTATTTTACATTTTTCACAGTATTTCAGACTGTGACCAATCACATTTCAGTTTTAATTTAGTTATACTTTCAAAGCTTCCATTAAAACATCATAATACATAAAAATTATAGAAACTATGATATTATGTTGCATTTTGTTTGTATTTTACTATTTACACTAAAAGCTCTGGCCAGAGGTTGTAAACCGCTTTTAGAGGCAGAATTGTATTTACAATGTAAATTGATTCTGTATACTGGTACGGGCGTCCCTCTTACATATTAGTTATACAGCGTGTCGTTACCATCGCGACAATAAATGAACACACATATAGGGGATAACTTTTTAAAGTTGTATTGTAAACATTTAAATTCTTTAAACATCAACATTAACACAGTTATTAAATTTTCCAAAGCAAAGAATTTTAGAACACCCTTACCTATAAAAGCGTAACGTAAAGTTCATTTGTAAAGGTCACAAAGCATATGAATGGGTTGAATGAATTTAAAAGAGACATAGCATACTGTTAGAAGGAGAGGCTTGTAATACGACGCTGTGGCGCGAGTTGTATAGGATGTTACAAATTTTGTTTCTTTTTTACTTAATTACTTTGTTTGAAATTTTTTTTTTATTATGGATTTTGTTTAACGTTAATAGATTTTTATGATTATTGGCAAGTAGCGTTAGGCGTGTGTTCATTTATTGTCGTGATGGTAACGACACGCTGTATAATTGTTATCGAGACACAGTACATAAATTAGAAATTATAAATCAAAAAATTTCTAGCAAACTTCTTTATTAAAATAACGTTTAATATAACCTCCTCTCGTAATTGATTAAAACCAGACCAATAAATGTTTTAACTATAAAATAAGTAAAATCTTTTTCTATCTGTTCGTGGTTACCATACATAGATAATGCCCGTTTATTATTTTCCCTTTACCTTATTAATTACATTCATACTGTTTATTTTACTCTTGTTACATTTAAATTATATGGTTACTCAATTTCTATCAATAAATATTAAAGACAGTTTTTGTTATTTATGAAGTGTTGGGCTTTTCTTTAGAGGCTTTTTATTTTACGTTGAATCTGAAATGAAAGTTTTGGTATCGAATTTCGAAGCACCTTCATTTTCCACAAACAATTTAAAATAGGTTTGTGGTGTCGCTTTTATCTCTGCTGAAAATATTGAAAATGTAATGGAATGTTATGTTTATTTTTGTAAATTTGATGTCGTTTTGGGAAACAACCCCCAGTTTGTGGAAAATTAATACTGCCGATTATCTCTTAAACTTTAACTTAATAAACATACTAAAGGCTCTTACAATTACATAACTTAACTTATATATAATTATACAACTTTAGCATAGGTTTTATTGTTAAGGACTAAAGCCCGGTGAAATATTTGATTCACTTAATATTTCTCAGAGGTCTCACACTTGCTTTATTTTCAAATTGGGTGTACTGGATCGATGTAATTCACAGCAGATCAGTTCAGGCCCGGGACAGGTAACCTAAAGATTACTGAACCAGCCTTTGTAACAATGGATACATTGATGTCGTCTCAGACGACTCAAATCACTGCAATATTTCACAGTTTTATTACCTAACGAGAAGATGATTCCGCGGCGCAATCGGTCCATGACTTTACTGAATATAACATGATGAAGTTGCTAGTAAAGCGGCCGACCTTGCCCGCTCCCCGCGTCTCAGCCGGAGAGGGGAATTCTCAACCCTACATATCCACGACTGCTGCATCAACGGTGCAGCCCCACTGAGTCACAGAGGATAGGAAGAGGACGGCCAAACGCAATACCAGCACTCCTCTTCCTTCGCGACTCCTTTGGAGGGAGAGGATACAGGGAGAGTGTCTTCACCTCTACCACCCTCTACCTATCCTCCGCACACTTCTTGCTCACATCCAAAATTGACTCAATGACTCCACTGGGAGCAGCCCTCTCAGTCCGGCAAGGCCAAGTGTGGGTTCCACTTGGCTTCTATTTGGGTAACCAAGCCACGGATACGAAGCACCTCGGCCACGAGAAGGCGGTAACCCAGTCGTAGGGGATGACCAACTTACCTGTTAGTCGCGCCTAAAGAAGTTTTACTTAAATGACTTCAAAACATATTTTATGTGGA